GCCTTCTTTCTTTGCGTGAACATTTGGGCGGCGTTATGCAAATCTTCCCACATAGTGACGTAGACATGTGGGGGCGTGTTAGAACGAGCCGTTTTAGGTAGGTGTGGCTGACTCTTAACTTTTATAAAGAATATCTCTTTGGATTTGAGACTTTAGTCTTTGCAACTTTACAGATCTTCTTTATGCACCAAGAGCTTGTAACACTCCAAAGAGAAAGGAAAAATTTAAATCGCATCATATGACCCCTTTAAGCATTATAAAAAGTTGCCTTTTAAGACAGCATTCTAACAAATCATGAAACCTCAATCGTTACTGATTTTTTTTACTGGTTTCCACAAAAATATTAAGCAACACAACTCTTTTCAACATTAATAATAATAATAGGTGTTTCTTGATTGCCAAATCAGCAGTTTGATTTGTGAAGATTCATGTGACACTAAAGACTGGAGTAAAGATGCTGAAAATTCAGCTTTGCCATCACAGGAATAAATTACATTTAAAAACATATGCAAATAGAAAAGAGTTGTAATAAAGTTAAATAAAAATTTCAATAGTATATCACAATATTACAATTTTTCTGAATTTTTAATCAAATAAATTTGGACTTAACGAGCATTACATTTATAATAACACTAGACTATTTTTAGTACATTTGTAATGCATTGTTTATTTTAACCTGTATCTATAAGTTCTCATCCATCATCTCTAAATGGTGATTGTCCATCATGTCTTATATTTGGCAACAAATTAAGACGTGAATAGTAATTTAATTTTATTAGTATTATTTAATTTTACATTTGCTTCCTAAACATTTCTTTAATCGTGCTTGCATAGTGGTATAATATTTCAATTTTCATTAAAAAGGTTTACTGTACAAATCTAACTGCTTGCATCCCAATTAATGTCAGTTGCTTTCTAGCTTCACACTGATGGAGTGTCATTAAACGTCATAGAAAATTCTGTGGAAAAAAAATCTCAAGCATGATTAAGTTAATTATTTTAAAATGCTAATTGTGTGAATCATTGTGGTGGGTGTAAATGAGTTGATTCCAGGTGATGGCGCCTGTTGAATTGTGGTATTTGTCGTTGCTTGGAAGCACTTGGCCTTGAACTTTGAAATCAGTCAGAGCCACACAGTCTCTAGCAGTGAAATGCTTGACATGCTGTGGCTTGTGACAGCTCTGCCAGGTCTTTAGCAAGTTATTTTAAGTATCCTTTTTAATATACTTGTTGGCCTGAGTGAGATTAATGCCTGTTTCATCTTCCCAAACACATGTAGTAAATGGATTTGGGTAAAACTCGAGTTCACCAGGGTATTTTGGAGGTTCGTTTTTAGCATGGACGGCAGGTGATTCCACTCTCTTGAAATGCTTTATGTATACCGAATATAACCGTGTATCTGAGCATTAAAGATGGTGTGGAATTCAAGTGCTCCCTTGAGCTCCCTGTTCTTAGCTGAATCTGGGCTGATTCTCAGTTTGCTTACTTATAACATACACAAATGGATACTGTGTGTACTTTGCTGCCGATAGGTGAGTACATACTTGTAAGTAGAAATATTTTGAAACTGTATGCATCTAGCTGAATTCATCGCCTTACAACTCATTATTTCTTCACCATCACCCAAAAATGAAAATTCTGTGGTCATATACTCTCATGTCAATCCAAACCCATAATACTGCAGTTAATCTTCGAAAACACAAATTAAGACCTCGTTAATAAAACCCGAGAGGTTTCTGACCCTTCATTGAAAGTCAAGGAGACTAAAACTTAGATTAACCAAAGTCGTATGGGTTTGGAATGACATGAGGTTGAGTAAACTTTCACTTTAAGTTCACACATTTTTAAAATAGTTCTCTCTGCTTTTGTTTGGAACAGAATGTTCTCAAACTCCTTTTCTGATGCAAAAGGGCTTTCGAGTCACAGATGCATGGGTACCTACTTTAAAAATCCAATGGAAATGGGGCACCGTCTGAGCATCTTTGCCAAGAGATTGTTTGGTATGGTATTTTTAACATGCCATGGGTTGTGGCGCACTAATCACATTTCATGTCCTATTTAGGATTGATAGTATGCAAATTTCATACAGTGCTGACTCTGCTGCTGCAGTTCCTTTGTTATTGTCACCTTTGGATTGGAAAGGTTCCATACCACCAACAGAAAGCTCAGATGTTGCATGTGCATCTTTCAACATTTTGGGAAGCATCTGTGCCAGCAGCCTTGGCTTTTTCCAGCATGCGTTTGATGCAGGTTCTGCTTGATGTGTGTGACATCCTGTTTTCCCCTCAGGGAGAGAATCAGTGATGCAGCTTTTCCATGTTTGGTCAAGGGGGATGGGCGTACCAGAGATCGATCGGCCCTGGAAAGCAGATGGGTCTCCACATATCAATAGCTGAACACACACACACATATTACTTTGTCAGGCTTGCATATCAAGGCAGCTGTGGCATCTAGAATCTCAGCAGCAAGGTCAGAGACGACAGTCTAGCCTGGCTTGTGGCTGCTGGGTTGAGGGTATTTCAGGATCCTGGAGTATTAATAGAACACAAAAAGCCCATCTGCTGGACTGATATGTGTGTGAGAGAAAGGCAAAGTGTCAGTAAATGTTTAGAAATCGAGGGGTGGATTGGTAAAAATTTTATTTAAACTTCATGTCTATGGCATTTACAAAGGTCAACATGTAGATGTGCAGAAAAGGCTTATGTCATAGATCCATTCAAGTTTTATATCATGAAAATATTCACTATCTGTTACAGATCATGTATAGCTTATCTATAACTCAAAGGTCTGAGGCCACAGTGAAAGTCTAGAATTGATCAAATTTGTAAAGTAATGTTTTAAAAATAAATACGTTTTAGTATTTAAAGCAAAGAAGTAATTCTGTTAAATTAGAACTATTTGCATTATTGTAATATTATTTCAGAAAATTAATTCTGAAATAATTCTAGGTCAGTGATTCTCGGTCTATTTGACTAACACAATTTTTGAAGGGCCCTCATATATAATCGATGTCCTCCAGTTGTGTTGCTTGTTTTCAGACTTTTTATTAACAGAAACTGGAATTGTCAGTATATTAATTTAATTCACCACAATTATTTTTGTTATTCCAAGCAATAGTTTTTGTAAATAAAATAAATGTTTAATATAAATATAACAATATAAAAAAATATTTTTTTTTAAATAAATATTTTACCTTGATTTGTGTGTGTGTTTCATGAAAGCATTTTAATTAAGTTTATTTTAATATAGCTGAAGTTATTTGCGTCATCCTGCAGCCCCCTAGTAGGCCCCGGCTCCCTGATTAAGAACCACTATTCTATGTCACTAATCAAATAAGTAAATTACTTGGCATTGATCATGTGACTCATTGTAAAGCCATTATATACAATTTTGTTGGAGAGCATGATCATAGGCATTTTCACAAACTGTGAGCGATTGAGAGAGACAAACCCAATAGTAAGACATTATGAAATTCATTTACACTGTTAAATTAGAAAACTTTAGGGCCCCCACTGTACATGTGCATTCATTTTGGCATATTGGAAGGGTAAGAAGAAACCTCTGGCAGTATTGGTATTCCATTCATGACCCTTCACCCTGCATTAGATTAATCTTTATACAGTCATTCCAGCTTCGTTTTGCTTTCCCTATTTGTTTCCGTTCTCTTGACCGCTGCTGTGAACTGATTACATGAATCTCTCGCGACTCGAGGGAGCCATGGGGTTTTCGCCAGCATAAACATGCCTGATAAAGGCTTGTGAATTCTCAATGCCTTACATATATTGATAGAACTCTTGTTTACCAACATTCTTACAAAATATCTATTTTAGTGTTCCACAGAAGAAAGGAAGTCATTGACACTTTATTTATAGACTATGAGGCATTATGGGATATCTTTCCTCATAGAACTCTGACACAAATGTCATTTTCACAAACAAGCCGATAAATTTCTTCTGTGGAACACTAAAAAAGACATTTTCAAGAATGCTGGTAACTAAAAGTTCTATTTTTGGTTGATTTTTATTAGCTGAGGTATGAATCAAAATGATTTCCGTGGTAATTTAAGTTGCCTCTATTGGAAATATCACACACGTTGTGTGTTAATTGTTGTTGGTGTCCCCATCAGGCTTCTTAACTAGCTTAACCAGCATGAATTTCTTAATAAACAGGCTTCACAAGAAAGAACATATGGGTTGACCAGCTTGTTTTGCTGGAGAACGACAACACTGTGCTGATCCACCAACATAAGCCCATATGGACCAGCATGGAAATTCAGTTGAGTTGGCCTAAGCTGACCTTTTCAGTAGGGTCATTTAAAGGGTTAGTTCACCCAAAAATGAAAATTCTGAAAACAAAACCCTCGTGTTGTTCCAAACCCGTAAGACCTTCGTTCATCTTCGGAACACAATTTAAGATATTTTTGATGAAATCTGAGTGCTCTCTGCCCCTCCCATAGACAGCAAGGTAACTACCACCAGATCCAGCGTGATGAAGTCATTACGCCTGATCTGGGTCAGCGCCGGGTCTTACGGGTTTCGAACAACACGACGGTGAGTAATTAATGACAGAATTTTCATTTTTGGGTGAACTAACCCTTTAACCCAGTACTTTCCTTATAGGAACAAAGGAATAGAAACTGGTCAGGAATGACATCTCTACCATCTCTCTGAATCCGTCCTTATCTTTCACAGTGTTTATCGCAAGGATTCGTTTTCAGCCCGGATATGTTGGACATCTCTGTTTTGAGAATTGTGTTTATGACCCTGTTTAATAGGCAGATTTTGATCATGGGGAATGATCTATTTTGGGATAGAGCTGTGTGATGGAGATTAAAGGATATGACAGAGTCAGAGTCTTTATATGGACAATCGCTCAACTTTTTAAAGCAGTGGTTAACTAGTATGTGCTGTTTCCTATTTTGGCTTAATCTTGATATCATGTTCTCCTAAAGCTCTTTGGTTAGTGTGGTCAGCGTTGTAGTCAAATGCCAAAGCTTTGATATATTTATTTAGCCTAACAAGATGAAAATAGATGACTTTGGGGGTATATTTGATTTGTATTCATGTTAAATATTCACACCAGATCAGCAGTGATTTTCAATCTTTTCAATCTTCTTGTACGAGAAAAAAAATGGTAACATTTTAGTATAGAGACCAATTCTCACTATTAACTAGTTGCTTATAAGCATGCCTATTACTAACATATTGGCTGTTTATTAGTATTTATAAAGCGCATATTCTGTATGACCATATTCTACATCCCTAATCCTACCCGATACCTAAACTTAACAACAACCTTACTAACTATTAAAGGGGTCATATGGTGCGATTTCAAATTTTCCTTTCTCTTTGGAGTGTTACAAGCTCTTGGTGCATAAAGAAGATCTGTAAAGTTGCAAAGACAACATCATATGACCCCTTTAATAAGCAGCAAATTAGGAGTTTGAGGCGAAAGTCATAGTTAATGGTTTGTAAATAGCGAGAACTGGACCTTAAAATAAAATGTGACCAAAAAATTTAATTTATTCCCTTTATTAAACTTTACTTAGTCCACAGTTCACATTTATCATGTGTGGTATAAAACATACCGTAGTATTAAAAGAGAATAATTATGTTTGCTTTATTGTTTGGCAACTTTTTAAAGACTTGGTTTAAGTTTCTGAGGAATTCCATAAAGGATTGTTCGGATATTACAGAACATTCCTTAGTCAAGAGTCAGTCAGACAGACTCCGCCCCCCACTGCAGCTGATTGGCTGTTGCTGCTCTTTATATCTCCAGACATGAAGGGTGCTGTAGTAAACATAGCTGCTCTTACATACATGACTGGATCATTTTAAATCATCTACATTACAGCTTAGCCACCTGTTACCTCAACAAGCAATGGCTGCCTTTGTGTTGGTGAGTTCAATTCCACACAGAAGGGTGTAGATTAAGTAGTTTTATCATTTTTGCAGTTCCCTGTGATTAACTCATTCGTATTTGTTAGAGTAATGCAACGATGTAAACCTCTGTTTAGGATTTAAAAATGAGCCACTGAAAGGTTTTTGTTGTTGTGTACAACTACTACTGAAAAAAAGTTTGGGGTCGATCAGATTTGAATGTTTTTGAAAGTCTCTTTCGCTCAGCGAAGCTGTGTTTATTTGATCAGAAATACAGTAAAACAGTAATAATGTGAAATATAATTATAATTTAGTATAATTTTTCTATTTTAATATAGTAAAAAATTGTTTTTCTCAGGATTTTTTAAATAGAAATTTCGAAAGTACTGCTTTTATTTTAAATATAAATGTTTGTAACATTATAAATTTTATGCATTCTTGCTGAATAAACGTATTCATTTCTTGAAGCTAAAATGGTTTATTAGCGTATAGAAAATTTATAAAGAAGAGGATTATAGTGTATGTGAAGCATAAGAGTACATAGTCATGTGTCCAAGTGGAAGTTTGGAAGCGCCAGTGGTTGGTCAGCTTAATTTAATGCTAGTCTCTGGCTGTGTGGATGGCATGTGTTCAGTGAACTTATGGCCTGTACCTTGCTGTATATAGAGCTCACGTTCATATACAATGTTTGAAATACTTGAGATAAGTGTTCCTAAGTGTCAGCAACACCTGGCTATCATGGTATAAAACTTGTTAGCATAACAGCATAACGACACAAAAAGCAAGACTTTAGTTTAATATGTTTGTTTTACTTGTGTTACACAATGAATTTTTTTGCTATTGCATTTGATTTTTGCAATTTTGTCGGGCATTCTAGTCAGTGTGAAAAGATTGAGCAATCGACTTGACTGTTTTTGTAAACTGAGAGACTGAAATATGTGGCTGTCAACACTATTAATTTCCAGAGACTGTTCATATCAGTATTATTTGCATTTCACTTTTAAGATCCAGAGTACATCTAATGCCAGACGAGCTTTATCTCTTCAGATTTGGCTTTGATAGTTACTTTATTTTTGTATTCAGATATTCAGTTATACATCTTTTTTATGTAGGGCATTAGGTTTTAATCTATCTAGAATTTTATGTACGAACTTTGTGTCGAATTTTATGTCATCAGGAAAAACTGCAAATATAGGCCTATCACTATTATAAAATTGATTGTCTTGGAAAAATATATATATTACAAAATATATTTATAAAACGGATAGTTCTGGTCCTTGATTCTGATTGGTTGAGCCAAGTTCTAAGCTGTTGTAAATTACTCTACAAACATACACCTTAGTTTACATTTGTGTGTTGCTCGGCAACCACTTTGTTGGAACCACAACCGTTTCGGAGGAAGTACATTGTTTGGCGGAAGAATAATGTTTTTATTAATATCTATAAATATCTTTATTTGCTCTGTTTTATTTTGTGAAACCTTACAATGTATATGGAATAACCGTTTTATAACTGCTTCGCGTCGTGCCTTACAACACCCCTTAGCTGTTATAAATTCACTGTAAACCATGGCTTCTTGGGGCTTATTGCTTTAATTTATTTGGGCAAAAACGTGTTTTATTATTTAACCACCATTTAACCATGATGCTTTCTTCTCTTAGATGGCAACATGTCACACCTGTAATAAGATGTCCAGACAACCTGGAATGAATCGGGAGCTTTTGACTACGTTGTCCAAGAACCGAAGTACCCCAGGAAGTGCAGGCAAACACAGAACTCCACAGTCAGCCAACAAGTCTACTCCAAAATCTGCAATAGACAGAACACCAAGTGGCACACCAAGGTAAGCTACTCTTAGCAAACATATATGTTACAGGTCCACATAGAACTAGCTTTTAATGTATCTATTAAAACCATTTATGCAATTCTTTCTTTCCGCAGGTCAGTATCTTCAAACACCAGCTCGTCATCATCAAAGCACGGCAGTGCGAAGTCGTCGCCTTTCGCTCGCCTCAAAAAGATCCTTATGCTGGAAAACAAACAGCAGAGCAAGAAAGGTGGTCTGAAGGACTTCCTTTCATCTCTCTGAAGACCTCAGGGCCGTTAAAATGAAAGACTCTGGCCCACTTTGAGTGGAGCTGCTAAAATTCAGAGCAGGAAACTTGATGAGGATGACGATCACTCCTCCTTGTGTATTACAATGCCACCTAGCGGGGGGAGTCATTATGCTGGATTGTATTGAAGGAACATCTCCTTTTCTTCTATCAAGTGTCTGTTTCTGAATCCTTGTGGACGAATGGGGAAAAAGTCATTTTGTAGGGGAGTGTAACTTGTGCTACAGAACCATGCTGTGACTTTTTTTTTATTTGCCATTTATTTTCATGATCCCACATATTGTTCATTTTTGTATAAGAAAGATAACTTTTATATGTTGTGTTTAAAGGGGTCATATGATGCTTTTTTAAAGATCATTATTTTGTGTATTTGGTGTAACAGAATATGTTGACATGCTTTAATGTTCAAAAAACACATCTCGCGCTCTCTCTCTCGCGCTCTCTCTCTTGCGCTCTCTCTCGCGCTCTCACTCTCGCGCTCTCTCGCTCTCTCTCGCTCTCGCGCTCTCTCTCTCTCGCGCTCTTTCTCTCTCGCTCTCTCTCTCGCTCTCTCTCTTTCTCACGCTCTCGCTCTCTCTCGCGCTCTCTCGCTCTCTCACTCGCTCGCGCGCGCACACACACACACACACACGATGTGCAAAACTCTGCATTTGAAGTCAGATATGTGGGGGCGTGTTAGAACGAGCCGTTTTAGGGGGGCGTGGCAGAGTCTTAACTTTGATAAAGAATATCTCTTTGGTTTTGAGACTTTAGTCTTTGCAACTTCAGGGATCTTATCTATGCACAATCAGCTTGTAACACTCCAAAGAGAAAGGAAAACTTGAAATCGCATCATATGACCCCTTTAATGTTCATTTTTGTACACTTTAAATTCACACATTTATATCCACAGCTCTTCGTTTGGATCACTGATATTAAAAGAAGGATTGTCTTTACACTTGGCTTACACACTGATTTATTATTTTTTTAATGCAAAATTTGTGCTGGGTTGTTTACATTTGATGGCTTATTTGCCGTCAAGCTATGTAGCAAAGACCAAAAATATTTCATACGGACTATTTTCTTCTCAATACATTTAAAAAGAAAGGTGATGTTTTAGTCTTGTTTGAGCTTTGACGGATCATTTTCAATAAAAAGTAAATTAATGAAGTTTGTCTGTTTATTTAGTCCCCTTAAAAGACATTAAAAACTTTCTTCTGGCTTCAAACTGTATTATAATAGATCTTTAAAAAGGAATATTGATGGACTATGTGTTAATACATGTACAAAACTGGAATCACAAAATAAATCATAGTCCTTAATACATAGACACTCAAAGTTTCTGTTAATATAAATGTTCAAAAATCAGCATTTTTATCATAATTACAGCATAAACACCCGAATAAATATTTTTGCCTATATGCGGGGTTCTTTGAAATATTGAATTGGATAATAGTTAAAAACCACTAATTGAGCACTTGAGGTTTTTAGACATTGTTTTTAGATATCATTTGTATAATATGTATGTATAATGAAGTGATAGCTTTATTAACATTATACATGCACTTTCATTCAAATGCAAATGTTGAACATTATACAATTATGCATACACAAAAAAGGAAAACAAACCTACAGAAAAAGAGTATAAAATAAAAAGGGGATGATAGTATAAAAATACAAAGATATAAAGATATCAAATAAACACTTTCTTATTCAAAGAGTCTCTAATACAGTCTGTGTACAGCCTAACTTCAAGCAACTAAAATTTTTTGTAAAAAATATAAGTATATTAATTCAGTAAAGGCACATTTCATCCTCTTTAGAATATTCAGTGAGGCCAAAAAGTACATTTTCCCATAAAAGTTAAAAAGATCCTAAACAAACAAATAAAAAAATAAAAAGTATTGATAGATGTCTGTATCGCACGCCACAATATACCTCTCGTTTTGATATAATTGAACGCTTTTTGCATGCAGACTTTTATTTTGACATCTCGTACTGATCTCGCTCTTTCACCCGGAAGTGGTCAAACGCTCATACGTGCCTTTACAATCACTGCCTTAAAATCTTAACTTTTTGGACATTATATGTGGTGAAATATTTAGAAGAAATTATCTCTAACGAATGTACAATGTCAGGTCGCAAACGAAGCCGAGAGCACCACGAGGACAGACATGAACGGAAGAAACATAAGGAGGCAAAACAAGATAAAGACAAACACCAAAACCAAACCAGAAAACTGATTCATGAGGTGCAGAAACTCAAGCATGTGGAGACTTTGTGAGTATTTGCTGCAATGGTAACGCTTTTAAAGAGAGTGTTTATAATCTGGACTTTTTATGGTATTATAAAAGTTGCTCGTTTGTCCTGTATGTAACGTTATTTTATGACTTTCTTTTCTTTTCTCCTTTCAGCTATGAAAATCCTCCCCCTGGGTTCATAAAGGTTTGGCCATAGTTTGAAATGCAATCATTAAATGCTCCAGATTCATCATAAACTAGTTCTTTTGGCCCTCTTTTACAATATGTGATCAGAGATTGTGTGAATGCATTAGAAATAAGCTTTCTAGTGAGCATTTTGCAATACATGCAGAACTGCTTTTGCAGGAAGAGGATGACAGACCAGAGGACTGTATTCCTGATGATCCTGGTAATGAGGATGCTAGGAGCTTTTTGGCTCACGCTCCCACCAAAGGACTGTGGATGCCTCTGGGCAAAGAGGTGAAGGTCATGCAGTGTAAGCAAGCATTCAGATGCCTTCACTTCACTCTTTAAAAAAAGAGTTATGCCAGAAGTGGTATTTTAGTGTCGATGAAGGTCGTTGAGAAATCTTAAGTGCACAAACTTGTGTGTGTAGGCTGGAGATGTAAGAGGTACGGCCACAGAACAGGAGACCGAGAATGTCCTTTCTTTATCAAAGGCAACCAGAAACTGGAGCAGTTCAGAGTGGTGAGTAACATAAATGGCCTACTTTTACACTGCTGCAGTCAAGAAGCCATTTATTTAAAAGCACGTATAGTACCCCGGTTCTAACATGTACAGCATTTAGAGGTTTTGAGATTAAGCCATGAAGAGTCTGATGTACAGTTTTTCTGATATCTAATCAAGTTTTCAAGGTTCATGTATGTCATTATTTAGTTTTTCATGACCATTTTTCATCCTGACCGTTAAAATTAACATGTTTATTTTTTTGGTTCTGCGCCTTTCCTGTGCTTATTCACGTGCTGTGGTTTTGCTTGCTTGCTTTGTCCATTTTAGTTCGTTGCCTCTTTGCAAAGCCAGGTGCAAAGGTGCACTCAGTATTATTTTCCTCTTTTAAAAAGAAATGAATAATACTTCTGGAAAAAACACGACTCCAGTCATATCAGTGGCCTAAAAAGCTGGTTTATTTACTTTAGAGCAGGTCAACTCGTGGGGTCTGACATGTAGAGGTCACATGATCAGCCAAAAACTAGTCACTTTATCTTGGCGTCCCTTCTATTATCAGACTCTTTCATTCAGACACAACTGAATTTTTTTTCTTTTTGTGTGATATTGAATCCAAGCCATTAGGTGGCAGTATAATTTATAAACTTTAAAACTATAAAATATTTTACTTATTTTACTTTGCAAGTTTGTTTGAATTGTAATATGTTGAACCTGAATTGTCTGTGAATGTTTTTACAATTCTTTCTTAGGCACATGAGGATCCAATGTACGATATCATCCGTGAAAACAAACGCAATGAAAAAGAGACTAGGTACGTTGAGCTTTATGTCACTGACAAACGTCATTCAAGTTATAAAGTACAGGGACTGTCATCATATGTTTTAATCACTTAGATTAAATATTTTTGTTAGTCCATGTTGCATTTAAATTACATTCATTACTGATGGGAAAAGACACAAACGTTTCGGCTCAAAGCCTTCCTCAGTGTGTAAAGCAATTCAATCCCTCCACCCACTTTTCACTTCTTTTTTTAATTATATTGACGTCATCATTCATTAGCCAATGTTCAGTTACCACAATCATTAAATCATTTCCACTTAAACCCTGGACAATTTACATATATATATATATACAGTGGGGAAAAAAGTATTTAGTCAGCCACCAATTGTGCAAGTTCTCCCACTTAAAAAGATGAGAGAGGCCTGTAATTTTCATCATAGGTATACCTCAACTATGAGAGACAAAATGAGAAAAAAAAATCCAGAAAATCACATTGTAGGATTTTTAAAGAATTAATTGGTAAATTCCTCGGTAAAATAAGTATCAATTTATTAACCTTATCTAATGCATTATTTAACCAGCTTTGTGAAAAAAAGAGAAAAAAGAAGATTGTTCTCGTGAGTGCGGATCATAATTTCCTATACTAAGTAACTCAACAGATTGACGCACCAAAATAAAAAGATCAAGTAACGCAAGAGCGCAGTGCAAACAATGCATTTAAATTACATTCATAATCAATAAGGGTGGACCCGTTCCAAAGTTTGTAATCAATACGATTTCTTGTCTTTAAAAGAAGTTTCTTATGCTTACCAAGGCTGCATTTATTTGATAAAAAATACAGTAAAACAGTAATGTTGTGAAATATTATTACACTTTAAAATAACTGTTTTCTATTTTAATATATTTAAAAATGTAATTTATTCCTGTGACGCAAAGCTGAAATTTTAGCATCCTTACTCCAGTCCTAAGTGTCACATGATCCTTCTGATCTGATTTGCTGCTCAAGAAACATTTCTTATTATTATTATCAATTATTATTATTATCAATGTTGAAAACGGTTGTGTTGCTTAATATTTTTGTGGAAACCCTGGTACATTTTTTTCAGGATTCTTTGATGAAAATTTCAAAGAACAGAATTAACTTGAAATATAAATAGTTTGTAATATTATAAATTTCTTTCCTATTACTTTTGATCCGTTTAATGTGCCTTTGTTGAGTAAAAGCATTAATTTCTTTTAAAGATTGTACTGACCCCAAACTTTTGAACGGTTGTGTCTGTATATGAGATGAAGAGCTCTTAATAATGCTCAGCCTCTGCTAGATCTGCTTATTAATAAAATATTTGGCGAGTTGAGGTCTCTCTGAGGCCAGTGTTAATGAATTGTGTCAGTTCAACAAAAGAAGCCTGTTGCAGACGATTACGTAACTCTTTACTCCACTGTGATTATCTTCTGCAGTGTGGTGACGAGCTCTTTCTACATGGGAGTAATTAGAAACCCTTATGTGGGATGTAAACCCATTTTGGGCCGTTTTGACAGGTTATTTTGTTCGTACATCGCTGAGCTCCACATTTATGCCACAGAACTGTTAATAAACATTCCCCCGGGGGTTTGACAGTTTGAATTTTTCAGCAGGATGTTGGAAAACAAGGAGTAGCTTGTTAAAAAACTTGAAAGTCAGAAGTCAGCCGCTTTAACATTGTTGTGGTCTTCACAGCATGTAGTGAATGAAAGCAAATCTAAAACGGGGTTGTGCGGTTCCCAAGGATACACGCCTCTGTTAGAGGATGTGAACCCTCTGAACAGCAGTGGTCTGATGAATTGTTAATAGTTTCAGGTCAGTGTGGCATTGGCAAAAGCTGTCAGAACGTGCTTGTGTTTTCTGCTTCCTCTTCAAATCGATAGCAATTCAATTTAGTTAAAGATAATAAAGCTCTTATTTGAAATAAGCTTGGATCAAATCCAATTGCTCAAATTATAATTTCTGTGCTACTAGCGCCACCAAAAGGAATTGCAAAGATAATGACTGAAATTTATTTAATTAGTGGTAAGCATTATAGACATCTGTTTATGTAATGTAATTTATTTGATACTTTCTTTGTGTGTGTATATACAGTGGTGTGAAAAAGTGTTGGCCCCCTTCCTGATTTCGTATTTTACACTTTAATGTTTCAGATCATCAAATAAATTTAAATATTAGTAAAAGATAACACAAGTGAACACAGCATTATATACACAAATTTTTTATATTTTTTTACAAAACATTTTTTCAAGCATTGCTTTTTAGGATTTGGTATAAACCATAATTCACATTTTTAATTGTCTCTACTTATTAATCTGGAATAGAACTATTTTAAAGGATTAACATTAAAGTTGTCGTATTGTATTTA